TCAAGGGATCCCCTGTTGATAGACTGTGTAATCGATCGAGGATAAAGCAAGACCACCACACTAATTTCTTGGTATGTCTATTGTTGTTCTGATAGTAGATAGCCCCGTTTTTTCGATTAAGTCTCATACTTTGAGCCATTCGAATAGCCATGAAAGAATAAGATTGCGGTCGAAAAGACGATGTTTTTCCTTGATCAACCATGCATAGCAAGATTAAGGCTTGCACTGTAGATAGTCTTGGTGCATCGAGGAAATAATCCAACAAATCTTTGAGAAAGGGTAATAAGAAAAAATTCACTATTATTATATATACATAAAAATAATTTAAAATAATTCTTAAATTGCTTACTTTTTGCAAGTTCATAGAATGTCGTTGGACTGTAAGAGTCCTGTAATATTGGTGGATATGAAGCGCCAACAGCGTAAATAGCATTCATGAGTAACGGTGATGGCTGATTGTCAGTACTTTGCAATTGCTGGTAAAGTTGTGTTCGATCTATTATCGGAAAGAACGGATGAAAATGCGTGAAAAACTTCTCCAAGAGTTGATTCACGACATCTTGTGGCGGAGGGGTAATTCGTGGCAAAGAACTTGGTATCTCTGGCTCTGAGTATGAGCCAGGTTGATGTGATAAATGTAGAAGGTTGTCCTGATAATTATTGGCAGTGAAACCTGTTAAAATTTTTTGAACATCCTCTTCGTCATCGCTACCAAGGTCATCACCAAAAGGCTCTTGTGGTTCTAATAGAGAAAGAACATCGGCTGGTGGAGTGCTAGGTATAACTAGGTGTGTATTGTTGTTGGTGCTATTATATTTTCGACGGTCACCCGTCTCCTTTGATTGTTCTTGCTTTGCCTCCTTAACCAACAAAGATTCTATGTTGTGTAGTCTTTCTTCTATAAGTGCAACGAACCCTTTAGGTGGACCTCTAGGTCGTTTTGTTGAAGCGTCAGAGAAAGTACATTGATATCCTATATTATTGATAGACAACACACAGAAATGATCATGAATACATATTATGGGATGTGGAGAATAAAAAAGATAACGATAAAAAGATCAAAGAATTCAAAAGCTTACCGCCTCTTCCACAATTGGCGCATGGAGAAGCACCGTCGCATTTAACTTTTCGCCGACGACAAGTATCACATGCAGTGGTGATCTTTACTCGTTTGTTTTCATGAGAATCATTCGATTCGTCGGCAATCATATCGTCAAGTATGAATAAATTCATAAGATACGATGATTATTGTTACTGTTATTAATAACTAAGAGGTGCGGGTGATGGATTTTTTTTTGATTCGAGAAAGGGAAGTTTTTTGGCTAGATAAAAGAATTTTTGTACTTGCAAAAATCTTTTCTGGCTATGATGTCCGTTTTGTTTTGTTCGGTTCTGTTCTATTAATACTATTATAATTATTGATGATAAATGGTGAATACAATGAATAGGTATGCGAATTCTTCAAATAATAATGCACTGTTGGTGAAGAATATTAAAATTAGTGAGGATAAACAATGATAAACACTACGCACTCATATATATGTAGACGAGCTATTCAAAGACCCGTCGTTGAACATCAAAGAGGAAAAAAAGGAGAGGAGAATTTTATTAAAAAGGTTAAAAAGGGAGGCGGAAAAAGGGGAAATCAATTTTGACATTGAAAAAATCTCGAGAAGAATGAATGATTTATAGCTTTTTAGGTAGCGTGTATTTATTAAGTAAATAATAAATTTCCATAACGAGAATGATTTCTGTGTTTATGCCACCGTATGCATAAATTGATAATTAAATTGTTATCAGTGATGTTACATATTCATAATAAATAACAATAATTTAGAGTACTGATAGATAAATTATATATTTTATGTGGGGACGTAATAAAGCTCATTGGACGATTTCCTTTAATTAGGTAGTCTCCGAATTAGTTTCTTAAAGAAACAAAAGTAGTTTAACTTATACTCATTGAAGTGTCCCCTTAATTAAAGCAATATAAAAAACTATTTATGAAGTTACTATAATTTATTCGTCAAGAATGCATTATAACAAGAGATGTTCGATAAGGAAATTCTCTTCTTTAATGTTGATTACGTTTTAAAATTGATTACGTTTTAAATACAATAATTTCCGGTCTGCGTTCCTCTAACTAAAGTATTCCGGCCGCAACTACAAAAAGAACAATATTTATCATTGTCAAAACTGAGGTAAACACGTAAAGCTTACCACAACAATAACAAAGGGAAACGTCGAGAAATTGTGGGAGAACATTTCCGTATTACCATCATTTTATTTTTAGCAATCGTGAAAAGGTGATTAGAATTAATAGTGATAAAGAATCTTGTTTAATCTTGCATAGTTAACGGCGCTACATAAATAATGATCATAAGACACGACGAAAAAGTTTCTAGTGATGATAGGTGGACAGATAAAGGGTATAGCGAGTGTATGACGAAGAAAAAACAAATCGTAAATCAACAAATAACTAAGTAGTCAAGTGAAAAGACTTTAGCCCAATTTAAAATAGAAGATCAAAAGCGAAGATTCTGAAACCGGAAGAAAAATCGCCAAGAGCGGAATTGCCAAAAACTGGGGGATAAATGTCATTGTTATTGATCATATGATCCTTGATTTTTTTGATCTTCGATGATCTCAATAGAAAAAATAATCCTCTGAATTTAATTTACACGTCAATCAATCGTGGTAAATGAAGTACTAGGTGACATTTACTTTAAAAAAAAGTGATCTTTACAAATGAGAAACAATATGTATGCATGCTTATTTCCCCAAAGAAATCGGTTAAAAATCTAATTTATGTTTTGCATTAACAACACGTCTAACGTGAATTTGGTTTCTTTGGCGCGTTCGCATCATGTAATCAATCGATCACTATAAATACTAATGAAGGAAAAAGTAATTATCCACAAGAAAAAACATTACTATTTCATATATTTTTAGTAAATAACGATAACATGTGAAGTTCTAATTATAGCAATGTGGTTTAGTGGTGGAAATGTACTACTATAATAATATGTAGAACAATTCAAATTTATTCATTCATTCATTTAGTTATTTATTTATTCATTTATTTATTGATTAAAAAAAAACATTTGCTTGCATAGAACAAAGAAAAGACGGTAAGCGTAATTAACCCAATTTTCACCACATGGAAAAACTGTTTGTTTGTATTAATTAGTTGTGTATCATCGATATGCGCAAATAACTTGTTAATTATTGTGTGTAACACGTGAACTTGAAAGATATGTATCTTCTACAACATTGACAATAAATTTATAGATCATCATTCTCTTCATTTGTTGTTGTTTTATTTAGATTCCACATTACTTCAATAATGGATATTGTTTTGCAAATTAACCAATGAAAAATCAGAGTTCACTGAGAAACGTCCATCTTTAAAGCGATGAGAGAGAAGATTTCATAAGCCATGTTTGAGATTAAGTTGCTAATTATTAATTGTGTTCTCCTTGGCTTTTTACGAATATTCGGATAGTCTAATGAAACAAGTAAATTAATAAAGTAACATTATTCGTGTATCAGAAAATAATAAAATCAAAAACCAGAAAATATAATGCGTCAAGTTTATTATCCATTGTTCAAAAGACAAAAATGGAAATTATTGTGTATGTTCTAACGTCATATGATGCAGAATTCATTATGCACATGTAATACATGTCCTTGAATACGATTTTCAGGACAACGAAAAATTTCCTCCTCCAACACTGTCGCCTCTTTGATGCGTTTCAGGATGCAATAAAAGTTAAATTTAAAAATAGAACAATTAATGCAAAGTAACATTAAAATTCGGGGAAAAAAATTTTCTGCAAGATGGTATAAATTACACATCAATGATCTATGTGAATACCTACATATATGTATCTGAATGATGACATGCATTATTCGACATTGTTGCTCAAAACTCTCATTAGTTCTTTGCAGACGTCAGTTTCTATTGTTCTCTGATTGCGAAATAAGTGATAGGATAATCCGTGTGCAATTTTTTAAGTTTCCACTCTTTTATCCACGTTTGATATCCTGTGTGCTTGCAAAGCATCTTCTTGGTTGGATACCTAAAAAAAAAACAATATGACAAATTCAAAATGACTTATACTGATCGAGGACGAATAGATTCGAGAATTAAAGTTATTGAGAAAGTAAATAATTAGTATCTTGATTTCTATTTTTGAGATTCAATTATCGTTATGGTCTTCTTGTTTCAAGAATACCCACTCAAATGTTACGGTTTCCGAAATCGTTCGAGTTCCGAAATAATTCGAGCCACTTCGGGATATTCTATTCCACGAATATCATTCGCGTGTTTCCTGATTATAAAAGATATTCTTGATTACAAATTTTTATTATATGCACTGAGTAAGAATGAATTTGTAACTTTTGCATTTTCCATTATATAATTTAAACACCATTATTTATTTTATTTTTTTCCGGATTAGATGTTCACAATTGAGATTACTAAAAGTTTGCCATACCAAACTTTCCTTGTTTAAGAACACTGATATACACATACACATAAACACCTAAAAATAGTACAAATTTCCATTGATGATGGAGAAAAGAAAGAAAAGATGTAAATCCCCAATACTACAAAAGAAAATAAATACACAAATAAAGAGATATTAATAGAACATCTATTCATTCTATAACTTAAAAATATATAATAGACAAAGAGTTGTAATTAGTATGTACAAACTCATAGGTTGAATAATGCGCCGATATATTTATATCGGGTAGAGATAAGATATTGAATCTCTATTATCTCGTCTAAGTACTGATTAGTGTAAAAAAATAAATTTGATAAGAAATAACGCATAAACTATTCAAAAATTTATGTTGTCTCTATGCAAAGATTAAGACATCGAAACGTGCACCTCGAATGCTATTTTATTGAATATCCGTGTTATCCATGGAAAAACGTAATAATATCTTTATATGAATACTGCATTTTCAAAAAATGCAACTCATTTAATATCAAAAACCTAAAGAAAATAAAACAAACTCGAAGAAAATAAAAACAGATATCAAACGTAGTAACCAATTGTAGTATCCACTGTATGCATAATCAATGCCACGTTTCTTGAACACCAATCAACCATTTACCCCACAAAAATTATTGTATTACATTTGGAAATTAGAAATTGACTATGCAGTAATTAAGAATTGAAATGCTAAAATTTGCCGTAGCTAAATTTTCTGCGTCACAGCATGTATTCATACAGAGATCATGCAAAAAAAAGAGGTCGCTATTTTGTAGTAGCTACAAAATAGCGGCCCTCTTTTAAAAAATAATCACTCATTTTTGACTAGTATTCATTAAGCTCACTACAAATAATGTAACCTGTGATCGTTAAATCAATTTTGATTGGTCAAACACGAGACACTTTTTGCTACTTTATTGGTTATTGCAATAAACCACTTAGCAAATGACCGTATTTTATGATAATCACGTGATTTTTTGCAAGTGATCAGAAATTAAAATGGGACAAGTCACGTGATTGGCGTCTTTAAGTATCTTGCACTGTATATATAGCGAATTAACGTTAAAAGTTGATTTTAGGGTTAGGATCAGGATCAATGTTGGAATTCGAGATGAGATTATATGTAAAATTGCCTCACTATATAACATTTTTATTAGTACTCCAAGTTAGATTTAGACTTGTTTTGCCGGGCTGATCAAATTTACGCATCTTTATTGGTCACACATGATCTGATGATCCCAAACTGGCACAGATTCAATAAATGGGATTGTATAACGAGAAATTGGCTCGTTTCGGGAGCTTGGTCATCTATTGGCCAGGAATTTGCTCAAGTAAGACTAAGTCTTATTTAAGTGATTGGTAGTTTGAATGTTTCACATGACTTTATCCCAAATCCCGAAATGGTCATACACAAATAATAGAAAATAAAGCAAATTCAACATTTATCTTTTGCATGAGTGCGGGATATCCGCAAATTGATACAATACTAGTCGTTTTAAGAACGACTATTTTGTACTGGTATCAAAAACTAATTATACATAATAAAGTGAGCTCGTAAGATACGCTTTCCTTTACTTAATGAAGCTATATAATAAGCATTTCAATTATTTATTTAGAAAGCATCATCTAATTGTATATTATTTAAAATAACCGAAATATATAAGATTTACTGGTGAATAAATGAGTATTTACAGAATGTTCTTA